TGTGCTTGCTGTTGTTGTGCTTGGTGTTGTTGTGCTTGCTGTTGTTGTGCTTGCTGTTGATGGTGTTCCTAGTGTTGTTGTGCTTGCTGTTGATGGTGTGCCTCGTGTTGTTGTGCTTGCTGTTGTTGTGCTTGCTGTTGTTGGTGTGCCTGGTGTTGTTGTGCTTGGTGTTGTTGTGCTCGGTGTTGTTGTGCTTGGTGTTGTTGTTGTGCTTGGTGTGCTTGCTGTTGTTGTGCTTGCTATTGTTGTGCTTGCTGTTGTTGTGCTTGCTGTTGGTGGTGTGCCTGGTGTTGTTGTGCTTGGTGTTGTTGTTGTACTTGCTGTTGATGTGCTTGGTGATGTTGTGCTTGCTGTTGTTGTGCTTGCTGTTGATGGTGTGACTGATGGTGTTGTTGTGCTTGCTGTTGTTGTGCTTGCTGTTGATGGTGTGACTGATGGTGTTGTTGTGCTTGCTGTTGTTGTTGTGCTTGCTGTTGTTGTGCTTAGTGTTGTTGTGCCTGGTGTTGTTGTGCTTGCTGTTGTTGGTGTGCCTGGTGTTGTTGTGCTTGCTGTTGTTGGTGTGCTTGGTGTTGTTGTGCTTGCTGTTGTTGTGCTTGCTGTTGCTGTTGTTGGTGTGCCTGGTGTTGTTGTGCGTCCTGTTGTTGTGCTTGCTGTTGTTGTGCCTGCTGTTGTTGTGCTTGGTGTTGTTGTGCTTGGTGTTGTTGTGTTTGCTGTTGTTGTTGTGCTTGCTGTTGTTGGTGTGCTTGGTATTGTTGGTGTGCTTTGTGTTGTTGTGCTTGCTATTGTTGTGCCTGCTGTTGGTGGTGTGCCTGGTGTTGTTGTGCTTGCTGTTGTTGTGCTTACTGTTGGTGTGCCTGGTGTTGTTGTGCTTGGTGTTGTTGTGCTTTCTGTTGGTGGTGTGCCTGGTGTTGTATTTGGTGTTGTTGTGCCTGGTGTTGTTGTGCTTGTTGTTATTGTGCTTGCTGTTGGTGGTGTGTCTGGTGTTGTTGTGCCTGGTGTTGTTGTGCTTGCTGTTGGTGTGCTTGGTGTTGTTGTGCTTGCTGTTGTTGGTGTGCTTGGTGTTGTTGTGCTTGCTGTTGTTGTGCTTGCTGTTGTTGGTGTGCCTAGTGTTGTTGTGCTTGCTGTTGTTGTGCTTGGTGTTGTTGTGCTTGCTGTTGTTGTGCTTGCTGTTGATGGTGTTCCTAGTGTTGTTGTGCTTGCTGTTGATGGTGTGCCTCGTGTTGTTGTGCTTGCTGTTGTTGTGCTTGCTGTTGTTGGTGTGCCTGGTGTTGTTGTGCTTGGTGTTGTTGTGCTCGGTGTTGTTGTGCTTGGTGTTGTTGTTGTGCTTGGTGTGCTTGCTGTTGTTGTGCTTGCTATTGTTGTGCTTGCTGTTGGTGGTGTGCCTGGTGTTGTTGTGCTTGGTGTTGTTGTTGTACTTGCTGTTGATGTGCTTGGTGATGTTGTGCTTGCTGTTGTTGTGCTTGCTGTTGATGGTGTGACTGATGGTGTTGTTGTGCTTGCTGTTGTTGTGCTTGCTGTTGATGGTGTGACTGATGGTGTTGTTGTGCTTGCTGTTGTTGTTGTGCTTGCTGTTGTTGTGCTTAGTGTTGTTGTGCCTGGTGTTGTTGTGCTTGCTGTTGTTGGTGTGCCTGGTGTTGTTGTGCTTGCTGTTGTTGGTGTGCTTGGTGTTGTTGTGCTTGCTGTTGTTGTGCTTGCTGTTGCTGTTGTTGGTGTGCCTGGTGTTGTTGTGCGTCCTGTTGTTGTGCTTGCTGTTGTTGTGCCTGCTGTTGTTGTGCTTGGTGTTGTTGTGCTTGGTGTTGTTGTGTTTGCTGTTGTTGTTGTGCTTGCTGTTGTTGGTGTGCTTGGTATTGTTGGTGTGCTTTGTGTTGTTGTGCTTGCTATTGTTGTGCCTGCTGTTGGTGGTGTGCCTGGTGTTGTGCTTGGTGTTGTTGTTGTGCCTGGTGTTGTTGTGCTTGGTGATGTTGTGCCTGGTGTTAATGTGCTTGCTGTTGTTGGTGTGCCTGGTGTTGTTGTGCTTGCTGTTGTTGTGCTTGCTATTGTTGGTGTGTCTGGTATTGTTGTGCTTGCTGTTGATGGTGTGCTTGGTGTTTTTGTGCTTGCTGTTGCTGTGCTTGCTGTTGTTGGTGTGCCTGGTATTGTTGTGCTTGCCGTTGTTGTGCTTGCCGTTGTTGTGCTTGCTGTTGTTGGTGTGCTTGGTGTTGTTGTGCCTGCTGTTCTTGTTGTGCTTGCTGTTGTTGGTGTGCCTGGTGTTGTTGTGCTTGGTGTTGTTGTGCCTGGTGTTGTTGTGCTTGGTGTTGTTGTGCTTGCTGTTGTTGTGCTTGGTGTTGTTGTGCTTGGTGTTGTTGTGCTTGCTGTTGTTGTTGGTGTGCTTGGTGTTGTTGTGCTTGCTATTGTTGTGCTTGCTATTGTTGTGCTTGCTGTTGGTGGTGTGCCTGGTGTTGTTGTGCTTGCTGTTGATGGTGTGCCTGGTGTTGTTGTGCTCGCTGTTGTTGGTGTGCTTGGTGTTGTTGTGCTTGCTGTTGTTGTGCCTGGTGTTGTTGTGCTTGCTGTTGTGCCTGGTGTTGTTGTGCTTGCTGTTGGTGTGCTTGCTGTTGATGGTGTGCTTGCTGTTGTTGTTGTGCCTAGTGTTGTTGTGCTTGCTGTTGTTGTGCTTGCTGTTGTTGTGCTTTCTGTTGGTGGTGTGCCTGGTGTTGTATTTGGTGTTGTTGTGCCTGGTGTTGTTGTGCTTGTTGTTATTGTGCTTGCTGTTGGTGGTGTGTCTGGTGTTGTTGTGCCTGGTGTTGTTGTGCTTGCTGTTGGTGTGCTTGGTGTTGTTGTGCTTGCTGTTGTTGGTGTGCTTGGTGTTGTTGTGCTTGCTGTTGTTGTGCTTGCTGTTGTTGGTGTGCCTAGTGTTGTTGTGCTTGCTGTTGTTGTGCTTGGTGTTGTTGTGCTTGCTGTTGTTGTGCTTGCTGTTGATGGTGTTCCTAGTGTTGTTGTGCTTGCTGTTGATGGTGTGCCTCGTGTTGTTGTGCTTGCTGTTGTTGTGCTTGCTGTTGTTGGTGTGCCTGGTGTTGTTGTGCTTGGTGTTGTTGTGCTCGGTGTTGTTGTGCTTGGTGTTGTTGTTGTGCTTGGTGTGCTTGCTGTTGTTGTGCTTGCTATTGTTGTGCTTGCTGTTGGTGGTGTGCCTGGTGTTGTTGTGCTTGGTGTTGTTGTTGTACTTGCTGTTGATGTGCTTGGTGATGTTGTGCTTGCTGTTGTTGTGCTTGCTGTTGATGGTGTGACTGATGGTGTTGTTGTGCTTGCTGTTGTTGTGCTTGCTGTTGATGGTGTGACTGATGGTGTTGTTGTGCTTGCTGTTGTTGTTGTGCTTGCTGTTGTTGTGCTTAGTGTTGTTGTGCCTGGTGTTGTTGTGCTTGCTGTTGTTGGTGTGCCTGGTGTTGTTGTGCTTGCTGTTGTTGGTGTGCTTGGTGTTGTTGTGCTTGCTGTTGTTGTGCTTGCTGTTGCTGTTGTTGGTGTGCCTGGTGTTGTTGTGCGTCCTGTTGTTGTGCTTGCTGTTGTTGTGCCTGCTGTTGTTGTGCTTGGTGTTGTTGTGCTTGGTGTTGTTGTGTTTGCTGTTGTTGTTGTGCTTGCTGTTGTTGGTGTGCTTGGTATTGTTGGTGTGCTTTGTGTTGTTGTGCTTGCTATTGTTGTGCCTGCTGTTGGTGGTGTGCCTGGTGTTGTGCTTGGTGTTGTTGTTGTGCCTGGTGTTGTTGTGCTTGGTGATGTTGTGCCTGGTGTTAATGTGCTTGCTGTTGTTGGTGTGCCTGGTGTTGTTGTGCTTGCTGTTGTTGTGCTTGCTATTGTTGGTGTGTCTGGTATTGTTGTGCTTGCTGTTGATGGTGTGCTTGGTGTTTTTGTGCTTGCTGTTGCTGTGCTTGCTGTTGTTGGTGTGCCTGGTATTGTTGTGCTTGCCGTTGTTGTGCTTGCCGTTGTTGTGCTTGCTGTTGTTGGTGTGCTTGGTGTTGTTGTGCCTGCTGTTCTTGTTGTGCTTGCTGTTGTTGGTGTGCCTGGTGTTGTTGTGCTTGGTGTTGTTGTGCCTGGTGTTGTTGTGCTTGGTGTTGTTGTGCTTGCTGTTGTTGTGCTTGGTGTTGTTGTGCTTGGTGTTGTTGTGCTTGCTGTTGTTGTTGGTGTGCTTGGTGTTGTTGTGCTTGCTATTGTTGTGTTTGCTATTGTTGTGCTTGCTGTTGGTGGTGTGCCTGGTGTTGTTGTGCTTGCTGTTGATGGTGTGCCTGGTGTTGTTGTGCTCGCTGTTGTTGGTGTGCTTGGTGTTGTTGTGCTTGCTGTTGTTGTGCTTGCTGTTGTGCCTGGTGTTGTTGTGCTTGCTGTTGGTGTGCTTGCTGTTGATGGTGTGCTTGCTGTTGTTGTTGTGCCTAGTGTTGTTGTGCTTGCTGTTGTTGTGCTTGCTGTTGTTGTGCTTGCTGTTGGTGGTGTGCCTGGTGTTGTTGTGCTTGCTGTTGTTGTGCTTGTTGTTGATGGTGTGCTTGGTGTTGTTGTTGGTGGTGTTCCTAGTGTTGTTGTGCTTGCTGTTGTTGGTGTTCCTAGTGTTGTTGTGCTTGCTGTTGTTGTGCTTGTTGTTGATGGTGTGCTTGGTGTTGTTGTGCTTGCTGTTGGTGGTGTGCCTGGTGTTGTTGTGCTTGCTGTTGATGGTGTGTTTGATGGAGTTGTTCCTGGGGTGTTTGAGCAGCCCGACTCACAGCCCGAACAGCACAGGACCTTGATCTCGTAGTCATCGCAGAAGAAGAAGGGGTCTTTGTTGCGACAGAGCAGCCCTTCGTCCTTGTCACAGGTCACTCCCGGCTGAAGCTCGTTCGTCGTGGTGCCATAGACTCGACACTCGATGTCACTCGGCTCCAAGCAGATGCTGTCCTCTCCTTCTACTTCTCGGATGTGAGCAAACGTCTCATTGTCTCCCTGCCCATCGTAGCTGGGGTAATCAGATGAGATCCAGCGTGACCACTCGCAGTGGGGCGTGCAGGTGCAGGGGGTGGTGGAAATTGTTGTGCTTGTTGTTGTTGGGCCTAGTGTTGTTGTGCGTGCTGTTGTTGTGCTTGCTGTTACTGTGCTTGCTGTTGATGGTGTGTTTGGTGTTGTTGTGCTTGCTGTTGTTGTACTTGCTGTTGTTGGTGTTCCTGGTGTTGTTGTGCTTGCTGTTGTTGTGCTTGCTGTTGTTGGTGTGCTTGCTGTTGATGTGCTTGGTGTTGTTGTGCTTGCTGTTGATGGTGTGACTGATGGTGTTGTTGTGCTTGCTGTTGTTGTGCTTGCTGTTGTTGGTGTGCCTGGTGTTGTTGTGCTTGGGGTTGTTGTGCTTGCTGTTGTTGTGCTTGCTGTTGTTGTGCTTGCTGTTGAAGGTGTGACTGATGGTGTTGTTGTGCTTGCTGTTGTTGTGCTTGCTGTTGATGGTGTGACTGATGGTGTTGTTGTGCTTGTTGTTGTTGGTGTGCCTGGTGTTGTTGTGCTTGGGGTTGTTGTGCTTGCTGTTGTTGTGCTTGCTGTTGTTGTGCTTGCTGTTGTTGTGCTTGGTGTTGTTGTGGTTGCTGTTGTTGTGCTTGGTGTTGATGTGCTTGCTGTTGTTGGTGTGCTTGGTGTTGTTGTGCTTGCTGGTGTTGGTGTGCCTGGTGTTGTTGTGCTTGCTGTTGTTGGTGTGCTTGGTGTTGTTGTGCTTGCTGTTGTTGTGCTTGCTGTTGTTGTGCTTGCTGTTGTTGTGCTTGCTGTTGTTGTGCTGCCTGCTGTTGTTGGTGTGCCTGCTGTTGTTGGTGTGCTTGCTGTTGTTGGTGTGCTTGCTGTTGTTGTGCTTGGTGTTGATGTGCTTGCTGTTGTTGGTGTGCCTGCTGTTGTTGGTGTGCCTGCTGTTGTTGGTGTGCCTGCTGTTGTTGTGCTTGCTGTTGTTGGTGTGCTTGCTGTTGTTGTGCTTGGTGTTGATGTGCTTGCTGGTGTTGTTGTGCTTGCTGTTGTTGTGCCAATTGTTGTTGTGCTTACTGTTGTTGTTGTGCTTGGTGTTGTTGTGCTTGTAGTTGATGGTGTTTCTGGTGTTGTTGTGCTTGCTGTTGATGATGTGCCTGGTGTTGTTGATGTTGTTGTGCTTGCTGTTGATGGTGTGCCTGGTGTTGTTGTTGATGTTGTGTTATTCACTTGTTCGCATGTGGTGTAGCAGCACAGGACTCTGATGCGGAAGTTGAAGCAACTGGCTTCAAATGAGCCATCCGAGTTGAAGCACTGGAAGCCGCTGGTCACGTCACAGGTGACGTTGTCGTTAATCTCGTCGGGCGGCAATCCGGGAAATCCCACAGCCTCGCACTCAATAGCGACCGGCTTCGTGCAGAAGATTACGCCCTTCGCTCGGAGGTGGGCATACGTCTCGTTTTCATTCCCAACCTTGTCAGGATAACTCGAATCCAGCCACTCGGTCCACTCACACCACGGCGTGCAGAAGGTGGAGGAGGGCGAAGCTGTAGTTGACAGGACTGTGGTGGTTGAGTGTGGTGTGCCTGGCGTTCCTGATGGTGTGACGAGTGTTGTTGTGCTTCCTGTTGATGGTGTGCCTGATGTTGTTGTGCTTGCTGTTGATGGTGTGCCTGATGTTGTTGTGCTTGCTGTTGTTGTGCTTGCTGTTGATGGTGTGTCTGGTGTTGTTGTGCTTAGAGTTGATGGTGTGCTTGGTGTTGTTGTGCTTCCTGTCGTTATGCTTGCTGTTGTTGTGCCTGGTGTTGTTGTTCTTGCTGTTGATGGTGTGCTTGGTGTTGTTGTGCTTCCCGTTGTTGTGCTTGCTGTTGTTGTTGTGCCTGGTGTTGTTGTGCTTGCTGTTGGTGGTGTGCCAAGTGTTGTTGTGCTTAGTGTTGATGGTGTGCCTGGTGTTGTGTTTGTTGATAGGCTTTGTGGAGAGGTAGCAGTAGTAGTTGGTGGCGGTGTCCTTGATGGAGTTGTTCCTGGGGTCGTAGTTGGGCCGCCCGACTCACAGCCCGAACAGCACAGGACCTTGATCTCGTAGTCATCGCAGAAGAAGAAGGGTTCTTCGTTGCGACAGAGCAGCCCTTCGTCCGTGTCACAGGTCACTCCCGGCTGAAGTTCGTTCGTCGTGGTGCCATAGACTCGACACTCGATGTCACTCGGCTCCAAGCAGATGCTGTCTTCTCCTTCTACTTCTCGGATGTGAGCAAACGTCTCATTGTCTCCCACCCCACCATAGCTGGGGTAATCAGATGAAATCCAGCGTGACCACTCGCAGTTGGGCGTGCAGAGTGGGGAGCTGGGAGTGGTGGAAATCGTTGAGATTGCTGTTGATGGTGTGCCTGGTATTGTTGTGCTTGCGATTGTTGGTGGTGGTGTGCTTGATGTAGTTGTTTCTTGGGTCGTAGTTGGGCCGCCCGACTCACAGGCCAAACAGCACAGGACCTTGATCTCGTAGTCATCGCAGAAGAAGAGGGGGGCTTTGTTGAGACAGAGCAGCCCTTCGTCCTTGTCACAGGTCACTCCCGGCTGAAGTTCGTTATTCAAGGAGCCATAGATTCGACACTCGATGTCACTCGGCTCCAAGCAGATGCTGCCTTCCCCTTCTACTTCCAGGATGTGAGCAAACGTCTCATTGTCTCCCACCCCATCGTAGCTGGGGTAATCAGATGAGATCCAGCGTGACCACTCGCAGTGGGGCGTGCAGGGTGGGGTGCTGGGAGTGATGGAAATCGTTGGGGTTGCCATTGATGGTGTGCCTGGTGTTGTTGTGCTTGCGGTTGTTGGTGGTGGTTTGCTTGATGGAGTTGTTCCTGAAGTGGTAGTTGGGCCGCCCGACTCACAGGCCAAACAGCACAGGACCTTGATCTCGTAGTCATCGCAGAAGAAGAAGGGGTCTTTGTTGCGACAGAGCAGCCCTTCGTCCTTGTCACAGGTCACTCCCGGCTGAAGTTCGTTCGTCGTGGTGCCATAGACTCGACACTCGATGTCACTCGGCTCCAAGCAGATGCTGCCTTCCCCTTCCACTTCCAGGATGTGAGCAAACGTCTCATTGTCTCCCATCCCATCGTAGCTGGGGTAATCAGATGAGATCCAGCGTGACCACTCGCAGTGGGGCGTGCAGGGTGGGGAGCTGGGAGTGGTGGAAATCATTGAGATTGCTGTTGATGGTGTGCCTGGTGTTGTTGTGCTTGCGATTGTTGGTGGTGTGCTTGATGTAGGTGTTTCTTGGGTCGTAGTTGGGCCGCCCGACTCACAGCCCGAACAGCACAGGACCTTGATCTCGTAGTCATCGCAGAAGAAGAGGGGGGCTTTGTTGAGACAGAGCAGCCCTTCGTCCTTGTCACAGGTCACTCCCGGCTGAAGTTTGTTATTCAAGGAGCCATAGATTCGACACTCGATGTCACTCGGCTCCAAGCAGATGCTGTCTTCTCCTTCTACTTCCAGGATGTGAGCAAACGTCTCATTGTCTCCCACCCCATCGTAGCTGGGGTAATCAGATGAGATCCAGCGTGACCACTCGCAGTGGGGCGTGCAGGGTGGGGAGCTGGGAGTGGTGGAAATTGTGCCTGCTGTTTTTGGGCTTGCTGTTGATGGTGTGTTTGGTGTTTGAAATGGGGTGGCTGGTGGTGATTGAGTGCCTGGTGTTGATGGAGTCCTGTTCGGCATGGTTGGTGTTGGTGTAGCTCTGCTGGTTGGTGTTGTGTACATCTGTCCAGCTGTCACTGACACAACCGTGGCTGTGGTTTTTGGTGGCAAAGAGAAAAATTGGAGAAAAAAATCAGAAAAATTTTGAAAGAAAAAACAGTTCCCTAGATCAAATATAAAGTTTTAAACTAATTAACATTTCACAGGACTTGGGTTAGTGTGAGGGAAAAACAGCTGTGTCGGGTGCAGAAATGCACTCACTGAATACGGTGCTTGCGGTGGGGCCAGTGGTGCTGGCGGTAGGGCCAGTGGTGCCGATATTGGGGATGGTGTCACTGCCACACGGTGTCACCACGCGGTAGAAGACGTTGCCATTTTCACCGCAGTAAGCCTTGTAGCACACGCCCATGCCGTCGCCCACCACGTAGATGGTCTCATTGTACTGGTACTCGGTCCCGTTCCAAATGCACGCGCACTCCGGAACGGGCGTGCACTCGATGCGCGACTCCGCCGTGCACAGGCTGCATGCGGCGGAACACGATTAACACCTCCAAGGAGAAGGGACTGCGGTAAACCTCTAGAGAAACGTGTTGAGAAGGTTCTCTGTCACACAGTATTGCCGTCTTTTCACCTGCTGGTGAGTGTGGCCAATACGTGGATCACAAGATAATTTTTGTGAATCTCAGCACAAATTCGAACAAACGGCAACATGAGCATATAATAGTGGCATGCAGAGCGGTTAATCACAATTGGCTTGGGGTAAATGGGTGGTATTTTAGGCCCCCGGCGGTACTTTAGGCCTTGTTGGTGACAAGTGAGGTCGAGCCTTCGCATCGGGCCTAGTTGGTTGCACATATGATGGAGCCTGAGTTGGGCCTAATTAATCACACACATGATCGAGACTGAGTTGGGCCTAATTAATCACACACATGATGGAGCCTTAGTTAGGCCTAATTAATCACACACAAGATCGAGACTGAGTTGGGCCTAATTAATCACACACATGATGGAGCCTGAGTTTGGCCTAATTAATCACACACAAGATCGAGCCTGAGTTGGGCCTAATTAATCACACACATAATGGAGCCTGAGTTGGGCCTAATTAATCACACACAAGATCGAGCCTGAGTTGGGCCAAATTAATCACACACATGATGGAGCCTGAGTTGGGCCTAATTAATCACATGATGGAGCCTGAGTTGGGCCTAATTAATCACACACATGATGGAGCCTGAGTTGGGCCTAATTAATCACACACAAGATCGAGCCTGAGTTGGGCCTAATTAATCACACACATGATCGAGCCTGAGATGGGCCTAATTAATCACACAAGATGGAGCCTGAGTTGGGCCTAATTAATCACACACAAGATCGAGCCTGAGTTGGGCCTAATTAATCACAAGATGGAGCTTGAGTTGGGCCTAATTAATCACACAAGATGGAGTCTGAGTTGGGCCTAGTTGTCCGCGCAACATAGCACAGCCTGAATTGGGCTGAATGATGCACAGTAGTATTATATTGTTTTAATGCTTAGTTAATATCGGAGTCAATCATGCAAAGTTAATATAGGTGATGGTAATGCTGCAAAAAGTTTGTGATTAATGTAAGTGTCCCGCAAATGAAGCAGTTAATTAATTATAGCCATGCATGAGTAATGTATAGCGTTATAATGCGTACTAATAATCCGTGATTAGTAGTTATGTAGTGGATTAACGAGCGCCAAGGGGGAAAATTGTAAACACGCGCGGGTTATGGACAGTGGGGTCGCATCAGGACAAGCAGGTGTTGCTGGGGAATAACGGCCGGAGAGAGACGGCTTGTTAGGTAATTATGGGATGCAGGGCAGTGATTGGCCGGGTGTTGTTGTCAGGGACAAGGTGGCGCCAGCAAGTCTGGGGATGGGAGCAGGTGGCGGCGGGGGCCGCGGGTGCGGGGCGTCGGCGGGGATGCCGGTTAATTAATTGGAAATTAATGAGGACGGGGATAAATATGGGAGCATGAGAGTGAGATGGGGAGTTGTGCTGGGAGCTGGACGAAGAGAGTCGGAGCAGAAGAAGAAATACAATAGGTTAGCAGTGGAGCAGGAGAAGAAGAAGAAGAGGTGAGAGATAGGATAGGCTAGCAGTGGAACGGGAACAGAGAAGACACGAGAGAGAGAGAGACAGTCGGAGTGAGACGGAGAAGCCGAGAAAGAGCGACAGTCGGAGTGAGACGGAAACGAGAGAGAGAGACAGTCGGAGTGAGACGGAGAAGCCGAGCGAGATCGAGACAGTCGAAGCCGAGACAGGCGAAGCAGAGAGGAGAGTCGGGGGGAGAGAGACGGAGAGAGAGAGGGAGGGAACGGAGCGGGCGAGGCCAGCGGAGCGTGGCGAGCGAGCAGAGAACGCGCTGAAGTCTTGGCTGTGGAATGTGCTGAGTTTTGTAAAATAAAGTGACGACGGAAGAAGAAGAAGTTGTCCGCGTAAAGTTGAGCACTACAGTTATATAATAAAAGCAGCTGCCCTCATTAAAAATACATACTTAGGCACTACAGGGTAAAATTCAGATTATTGTCGGTAATATTTTCTCGTGCATCGTCCATTGAGAACCACCAAAATAGATCAGAGCGCTCGATGTATTGGCAGCCACTGCCTGAGATGCTCAACGAATGTTTAGCGAGGGCACTGTCATCTGGTTAGGGTCACGCACTGGTGGTGTGGGAATCGGGACGGTGCTCACCAGTGTTCGCAGCGATTGGACGACGGCACGGTCTCGCTCGTGTTGTAGTGGATGCTCGGGTCGTCAGAGTCATAGCAGCCACAGTCTTCTAGCGCCACGCACTTCATGCTGTTCTCCTCTAGGAAAGGGAACTCAGGGGGGCACGTGGGAAAGCAGCCTGGGCGCGGGGGGGGGGGACACAGGAGGCACAGGGGGTAGAAGTCAGCACCGTGTGGCCTCGGACACTTTCACATTGTCGATTTGTTAACGACGGCGTGTTGGAGTTGCCACGGCGTGTGGAGAAGAAACTCTGTCTCATTGTTTGAGAGGGACTGCAAACAACTCCTCCTCGTCCCCGCCACGGGGCCCTGGATCCCCCCAGCATGTGTAACCCTTACCCTCAATGGAGGGGAGGTGGGTGGAGCAGTTCTGCTCTGGGTAGCGGCAGCTCTGGATGCACGGCTTCTTGCACGGCTCGAAGTGCCACTCGCACTCGTGGCCCGGCTCGTTGTAGTAGTCGCAGAATGCCGCTGTGGGGGAACACGCACGCGGTCACACACGCATACGTACGGGGACCTGTGTTCATGCTCGCTACTAGCACATCATCATCATCCACTGTGTAATGCACCATTCGCAATATCGGTCTCAATGCCCTGTAGTGTAGTTCATAACCTCTGGAACTCTCAACCTAGTGGGATAAGCGAGTGTGTCTGTAGGTAGAGAGCTTTAAATCTACACTCAAGACCCAGCTCTCTATCTTGCTCTTTATGAGTTTTGATTCCTGCTGGCTGTGCGGATATAGATAACGTCTCACTAGATTACATTGTTATTTTATTCTTTGTGCACATGCACATATGTCATCTAGCAGAATGTGCAACCACCAGGAATCATAAATAAGTGGCCTCCACATGCCATGTTCATCATGGCGGTCGTTTGACAACACTTACGGTACTGGTCACTGCGGGTTGGTGTGGTGGGGGAAGGTGGGCAGGACTAGGTCATGCTCTCACTTACTACTAACCTTAGCCATGGTCAGGAAACGACCTTGGCCCATCAGGCTCCTGGTGCTACGTGCTAACCACCAGAACGCTATTTCTCCTACTTTCGGTCCCATTTAAGGACAAGTAACAACCATCGATCCATCCTCCCGCTTCGCTCGTCGTGCAGGGACCGCGGTTCGCGGGACTCACGGCAGATGACCGGGGACCTCCAGGCGATGCACTCCCCGGCGTCGCGGCAGGCCTGCGCGTAGGCCGACATGGCCGTGCAGAAGCAGGCGCAGTCGCCGCCCATGTCGCAGCCGCACGAGTCACGCACGCACGCCTCGTAGTACGGCAGGGGGTCGACCTGCAGCACACAGTCCCGCGTCAGTCTGCTGCTCGGTGCTCTTGGGACATTTAACTCTTCTTGTGATCTGCTATCTTTCACAGCTTGATATCCTGTGATTGCAGCAGGTTCAGCCGCAGCAGGATTGATGATAACAACACGGGCAAGCGGTAGCACATGCCACTTGTTGAAGATATTTGTGGTTTGTGCTCTGTGCTTCACAGTGAATGTTAAAGATCCCGCAATGTAATTTGAAAAATGGGCTATTATGTGCTAGCGTCAAGGTCCAAGTTTTTGGTCACTTTGAAAAATAAAAAAATGACACCGCAAATTACTCAGTTTGGAGAACACACAGCAGCACCGCCCCGTACTGTGAAGCTACTGCAGGCTGTACCATGGTGAAAGCCTTGCTCCATGAGAATGGCACGAATACCAAACTTAGTGATGGTTTTATCTATCATGCTGTTGTATCCTAACCCTTCTTCCATAATTGAGATTAATAATATTTGATGATTTTTATATATTATCTTTTTACTTGTTTTTTTAATGAGTGAAACACACCAAAGCGCACCAAACTGCAAAACACCAGGTGTTGTTAAGTAATGAACGAGAGGAGGGCTAGGATGACAGAATTGCAACCTTGCTTCAAGGCAAAGGCAGTGAAAGGAAGCAGAGGCGCCCTTGTCTAAGTCATAACCACAGAAAGCCAGGAATCATCACTGATTGTGTGTTAGGGATTCCGAGCTAATTAGAACACGTGCACACAGAAAGGGAGGTAGAAGCACGCCTTGTTCTCCTGCAGCTGAGGAAACATAGATAAACCCAAGAAGGCCTTGGACCTGAAATTAAGAATAACATTCCCAGAGCAGAAGGTTGGAGGGCCACAGGGAGCTGATTTAAAAGAGTGTTGTATATCTCTCAAGGCGGGCAAGACCCAGCTGTATAACAAGGCTGCGGGGGTCACCAGAAGTTCGCATTCGCCTAGTTAAGACAAAAAGCTCAATTATTCTGTATTGCTATTAAAGTAACGTTAAAGTCGGAATTTAACAACAGGGTAGGCTAAAGTTATTGATATTCACACCCACTCCAATTAAACCAGGCCACAAGTTACGCCTACTGAACCATCACCATCATTAAGTCAAATGAAATGTTATTTCCATACTTTAATACTTTCTATGCAACTCGACCCGAAGCATATGACAATCAGAACCTTCCTAAGTCAAAATTGAATCGCACCCAGACAGGAGCGAATATATCATATATAAGGTTGAAGAGGGAAGGAAATTAAGAGCACGGCGGCAGACAAAAACCAGAACTGACTCCAAGGTTCAACCGCCCTCACCTCAGGAGTAACGGAAATTAATGAGGCCTTGAACAACGGCCAGCTGGACGGCAACAACAACGGCGAGCAGAGAGAGGGTGGGGCAAAGACTGCGGGGCTATGGAATGCAACTTCGTGTCAGTAAGCTCTGACAAACAAGTTAAGTTAAAGACATCACAATACATAATATCGCATATAACATCAATGTTAACGCTATTCACCGTAAACTATATTCCGCTTATATAACCATGCAGGCACCAAGGAATACGAATTCCTAGGATCAAGAAACTTACCCCTTAACCTAAGATATCGGAAATAAATTAATAGTAATAAGTATATGCATGAAAAGACAAAGTAAAACTTATGGAAAAGCCAGGATAACGGGATGAATCACCACCAGGTCGAATATGAATACATAATAAAAAAAAAAAACGATGTTAAACCCAGGGTCGGAGAGAAAGGGAGATCCCGGCCGTCTTTGTATCCCCGCAGCGCGGGATAGGAGTGTGTATACGCTCGGGGAAACACCCCCACTTGAGTCAAGCACCACGATGGGAAACGACAGACCTTAGGTTACATACAGAATCATAACTGTGAAATAGTAAGGGACAAATGTTAACTTAAAACTTTTAACCATTTCTTTGTGCGCCGGGTCGGAGAGAGCGTTGCCCCTCCCTCCAGGTGGTGCGAACAAAGACGCCTATGACATTTGTAACGTCTGTGTTTTGGGTTCATGAAGAAGGCCAGACAAGAGATAATATTGCACCCAGACAGAGAGACGACCTCGAGGCAATTTGTAACATCTGATTGTTTGCTCGTGGGTTCATGGAGGGAGTGGGACAACGGAATACCGTGAGTAATGCACACAAGGACATACGGACGTACGGACACACACATGGACACACCTGCCTACGGACAGATCCTGACACAGCAAAAATCGAAAGAAGTCCCGCCTTGTGGGCGGGATCCAGGGGGAATTTTCGGCATAAAGTAAAGGATCCTGAGCATTGGAAACCAGTGCGACGGGAGGGTCGACTCAGGAACGAGTGCGACCAGAGTGGGTCCACTCAGGAGTGCGACCAGCGGGTCCACTCAGGAGTGCGACCAGAGGGTCGACTCAGGAGCGAGGGCGACCAGCGGGTCGACCCAGGAGCGAGCTCGACCGGGAGGGTCGACTCAGGAGCGAGCTGCGACCAGCGGGTCGGCTCGACTCATCTTCAGCTCGTCAACCTCTGCCGAATCGGGGGTCTCTGCTGCCACCGGAGTGGTGAGCATCGCGGTTCGACGACAACCCAGAGCTGCACGCTACGAGCGAGTTGTGGGCGCCACCTACCGACCGGGTTCCGAACTGCGACAGCGTATCAACAGCCATCCGAACCAGTTCGCCACGGTGACAGGGGATCGACTGATACGTATGACGCGCACCGCCCCCTCACCACACGACCACCAGGCGTCTGTTTGACCTAAAGAATCGACTCCGAACACTGACTATTCAAGACAACTCTTACCACTCAAAAACACTCGAACCCATAAGCCATCCGTGGCTGGAAAGCATCACAACGAGACCGAGTGATGGCCCTCCGTCGTTTATAAGAGTATTCTTAATTTTTATCTTCAATATTTAGTGGGCTGTACTCTTAATCGCATAAATTCCCAACAGATCCATCAATACGAACTGATTCTTGGCACCTCCTTCCGCCGAGCCACGCTCACGTGGGGAGTGGTGGCCCACCGGATCCTTATCAGGTGATCTGGTCCCCAATTAGTAAACTTGGTATAAGATAACGAGCTTCGGAAAAGGAGCACCGTCGCAGGCCCTTACTCCGAGCCGTTCTGTTGTCAGATAACCTGCTGATGTATCCGTTGAGATTGGTGCCTTTAAGAATAATAACTGTTTTTGATTGTGTTTTTATCGCCGTATAATCTTTCAAGTATCTTTCAGTCATAATCGCCGCACGTACTCGCATCCTCTACAGAATATTCAACTGTCCCGTGACCCAAGGTGTTAACAACGTGATAAGGGTTGCGTATGGTCAATAAGGAGTGTGGTACTGCGTGAACAATATTGAGTATAATCATTCATTAGCGTTAAGGTTTTCTTAGCATAGTATTTGCATATTTCAACGACTCTCTCTCTCACTAACAACCATCGCGTTATGAACAATATTGAGTATAATCATTCATTAACATTAAGGTTTTCTTAGCATAGTATTTGCATATTTCAACGACTCTCTCTCTCACTAACAACCATCGCGTTATGAACAATATTGAGTATAATCATTCATTAACATTAAGGTTTTCTTAACATAGTATTTGCATGTTTTAACGACTCTCTCTCTCACTAACAACCATCGCGTTATGCGGGATCCATGTGCAGTTGTCAAAGTGAAATCAGACAATCGTTGATGATACTGTATTGATGCCGTGTTGACGTTCCGGGATTGAGAGTTCGCATATTATATCATAGTTAAGGTTGAATTAGTAATAAATTGATTAATACAGAAGTGGTTGTGTGATTCTTTCCTGAAATCTATGCATAAGATCTGCTTCTGCGTTGAGATTTGAACTTGGTGACCTTAATAAACACACTAATACATACTCAGTAAATGTTAAAGCGATAACGGGGTGAACCGGGGACCTAAAAATATAACCACGAATAAAAACTCTGGGAATGTTAAAGCGAGAATGAGACGAACCTAGACAACGATGCCGAGTTAATCTAAGTTAATCTTGCATACTTACACCACACCTGCATAACTGCATACGATTAATTGCCTTATTCCGATCGATAACCCACCCTCGTCACCGAGGCGGGGTCTGGTTATCATAACGACTTGTATTATCATAATTACACCCACTCGCATAATTAATCCGATTACCTCTCGAATTGGCATAATTACAATGTGCGTAATTACATAAATTAACATATTTCCGGATAATTACACATTTGGCCAGATTTCATTTAATAATTATTATTTTCACTGAATATTCATAACACACAGGTACAACATAATAATTTCACCCACGCACGCATACAACATAACAAATTTTCTTAACCCAACATATACAACATAATGTGGGCGTCGTCCGGGATTTCTCGCAGACAGTTTATGCATGAATTCAGGAACGAATCACTGTTGTGTTAATCAAAGTGTTGTGAACTAACGTTGCCTTGTGATTGTAAACGGGGGTATACAAACAAAACGCGCTCTGAAGGGAAATACCAGAGTAGCAGAGTATAACAAAGACAGCTGGGCTGAGATTATTTGCTCGAGTTGAACTGACGCATCCTGTGATACAATTGTTTATATGTGCTCTGAAGGGGAATTCTAGAGTAACTCACGACGCACATGAGATGTTAGAATTAAGATACACTCTTAAGTCTATTAACCACACTACATAATAGAGATGGCACAGGATCCACAACATTCTGAGTTTGACACACCAACGCATAACACTGATACAGAGTGGACCTCTGAGGAGGAGATGGAATCTATGGAAAAACAATATCGGGAATTTGTGTTAAAACGTACTGGACGGACTGCTAGCCAGCAGACGGAGCAGAGAGATATATGGGAGGGGAGCCATACAGAAGATGTTAAGGCCCATAGAAGGAAACTACTTAAGGACGTGATGAAATGTGGCAAAGCCAAACGTGACGTAAAAATTGCAGAAATAGCGAGGGTAGACTCGTATCTCC